AAAAATTATATGTAAATAGCTAAAATGGTCATCTACAGTAACTTCAACCAATACAACCAGAAAAGTAACTTCAAATTTACTTTTTCTACTTATTATACAATTCAGCCTAAAAGTTACGTGTTTGGAGAAAAAGTTGACTAATAAGCCTGAATTTCATAACCGAATAACTTCAAGAAAATTAGAAAAAAAAATTTAACATAAATTTTCGAGTTTAATACAATTAATAAATAATAATTAATAAACTTGTTGCAGAATAACTCATTTAATTATAAATTTTAGTTTCTAATTTTTATCTGGAAATCGGAATTGTCAGTTGTGAATAATGGATTGCAGAAGATTTGAAGATAGAAGTTTCAAATAATCAAATAAGGAGTATAACGAATTAGTTAATTAATCAATGAAATTTCAAATCAACAGGATGATCGTTACCTCTTGTAATCTGTATTACCATATACATATAACGTATTAGGGTAATAGTCTGATAAATAGACTACATTATTTCTAAGACTAATATCTTCCTAATTTTCTATTGGGCCATCCAGCCAGTGGGCCAGGCTCCCATGTTTGTCAGATTTGTTCATCTTATTAATTTTCTACGGAGTATTGTTTTGTTGCTTTGAGAGTTGACTTTTCAATTTTCTACTATCATGCCCGCTCGCCGTTCCTGGAATGGGATGTCAATGGTCGTATACTAATGAGTAATGAATGAATTAATATATTAATACTCCATACTAGTTTTGTTTAAAAAAAATGGTGCCCCTCTTGGAAGTGGTGCCCTAGGCAATGGCCTAGGTGCCTACCCCCTATGGCCGGCACTGTTTAGGGCCGTGATTAGTTTGCATGTAAAATAGAAATACATCATTTGGTTACGTGTGCAATCTGTTTTTAAATTACATGCAAACTATAGGTAGTAAAAATCAACGTGCAGCCTGGTATTCATGCTTATTGGATATAAATTCAATGACAATTCACTAAAAAATTCTTAGAAATAACTAAAATGCTACTAATTCACTATTCTACGTAATGAAATATCATAAAAAATCTTAGGAAATAACTAAAATGCTACTAATTCACTATTCTACGTAATGAAATATCACAAAAAATTCTTAGAAAATAATTAAAGTGCTAATTAGATTTCTCCATTCAAGATAGCTCTAACATAAATCAACTTCGCCTCTTCATCTGGCATGAGTAAAAATGAATCTGTTTTGCCTTTGCTAGATGATATAACTCCAAATGCACGAATCGCCTGCTTCTTGCTTAAATCTGGCAGATTCATTATCACCTGCAATATATGTGGCTTAACATCATCAGCAGCATTAAAACGATCGAAAAATGTTGTCACTTTCTCAAACTGCTTGTTTGACGTAGCACACATTTCCAAAACTGTTTCTATTTTTTTTGAACACTTCAGCATGTTTGTCAAACGCATTCTTCTTTGGTTTTTTCATGACGCCTCAAATTCTTCCTTGATTGAAATACCAAGGCTGCGCTTCTTGGTTTTGTTGATATCAAGTGGTGAAAAAATTTCATCGTTCGTAGTATCAAGATCCACAGCTACACCAAAAAAATCATCCTGAATAACACTTTTTGGCACATGAGCTCCTTCATGAGGTGCATTTTCTTTTCCTATACTAGTCACCATTTCAGCTGGAGTTTCACACTTATCCCCAGTTGCCCATTCAACACCAAATATTATCGCTAGCTCATCAAAATAAGGGAATGACTTGTATCGAAGATGAACCGAGTCTCTATGGCCCTACAATGACATTACCGATTAAAAAAAGTCATAAATCATATATATAAGCATATTTAAAACATACAATATTTTGACTACACGCAAAATACCTTAATCCAAGAAGCCCAAACTTCATTATCACAACTCACCATTTTGGTTTCCTCATTCCAGCCAAAACCTGAAGCACCCCTCATCATAGAAAATTCCTTATATTGTGTTTTTAAAGTCCTTAACCTATTTTTAATATTTGGATCTCCCAAAATATGACAACCAGGGATTTTTGCAGCCATCCACTTCTGCAATTGTTGATAAAAACCCGTTTTGAATCCATTTTCAGCTTTCCAACCTTGGTTGATCAGTTCGAGACAACCCTCAATGAGTATCTTGTCTTCATGAGGAGACCACTAATGATTATTACGTTTCACTTTTGAACTAGCAATGATAGAACAATCTTCCATTGTAGACTGTATAAGGCAAACAGTAAGAACAGACAAAATACATCCAGAAAAAAGACGAAACTTTCAGTAGTATTATATTATGAGTAAATAACTAGTAATAGAGTATTTTAATCAAATGAAAGTTAACAAATAAAAACACATAAAACTAGTAATATGAATCTTAATTCCTATTAATCCGGCGCTCATTCCATATTTCTTGTGCTAAGTTATCCCTAAATGCAGTCCAAGCTGCAGATTGCTCAATATCTTGTATGCTTGGGGCATTCATAAATGGGTCAGAATCAACATAATCCTCTGGCACCTTATCCTCAAGTGGATCCTTTCGCATCTCCCTTCTTATATGATTGTGAAGTAAAGCACAAGCGGTTATAACTCTACAATATGTCTTGACAGGGTACCAAGATCTACTACGAAGAATTGCCCATCTCATTTTCAATAGCCCAAACGATCTCTCAATGACATTACGTGCACATGAATGCTTGTAATTGAACATTTCTTCTTTTGTTCTAGGATAATTTCGTTGGCTCCATTCTTTTATATGATATCGTTGACCTCTATAAGGAGCTAAAAAACCCTCTGCGTTGTTGTATCCGGCATCTCATAGATAGTAACAACCTAGATTAATATGTTATGGTTAGAACTTATGAGTCAAAATTTATGTGAATTTTAAAATATATAATATTGAAAGCCCTATTGATTCTCCCACTACCATTAGTACCTTGAGGAACTACAAAGCCATTTGGCCTTGAAATCGCACTTCTTAATACCCTTGCATCCGCAGCAGAACCTTCCCACCCAGGCAATATGTAGATAAAATGTAAATCCCGAGAACAAACTCCAAGTACATTTGTGGCCAAATCCCCTTTACTTGTCCTATATTTTGGCTTTTCTTGCTCAGGGACATTTATCTGAATATAAGTTCCGTCTAGCGCTCCCAAACAATTCTACATATTTAAAACAAATATCAGTGCTTTGTTAGTAATTTACTAATTTAAACATTACTCCGTATTTATTTTGTAGTATTTTTCAGGTAAATAATGTAGAAATCATTACCTTAAACCATTTCCAAGGATGTTCTTTACAATTTTGAGGCACCGGTTCAGGCTTCTTAAGCAAAACTTCATGCAATCTCAAGATAGCAAGCAAGACTTTATTAAAGTGTCGGCTTATTGTTTCACCGCTACGCACAAATTCTCTTTTGACCACTCTAACTTTAGTATGATGAGCGAGTATATAGAGGAATGAAGCAAGCATTTCCTCAACAGATGAATTTTTTGTCGCTCGCAACATGCCAATGGTTTCAACCATGTTACACAGCACGTAAAATGCCCTTCTATCCATTCTAATGCTATCTACGCATTCTATGTCGTCATCCCAAATCATACTTCTAAAATTGACACATCTAATTTCATATCTCTCATGAGCACTTCCTTTTTGACATCTCTTCCTCTTCCGTAAAATAAAAGTGTCTCTATAATATTCTAACATGGCAAGTACAATGAAAAGAAAGTTTCTAAAGTTTAACGCGACAACATAAGCTGCCATGCACATTGTGATTTCGTCTTGCAATGAGCTGTCCATGATCAACACTAACAAAAAATGCAACTCCATGTAATTAGAGTGTAATACATTTATTTATTTACTACTTATCTTTTAGAGCTTGTTGATATACAAAAGTGGTTCACAAATCACAACTTCCGAACTACTATATACAAGGGATAGGAGAAAAGGATAATCATCAACTAAAACTAAATCTTGCAAAAATGTGATGCTAGAAAAAGAGCAGTAATTAGTACATATACGGAGTATTACTTTTCCTATATATATACCCGTTTAACTTTTATGTATATGTGTGTGTATATATTACGTATATATAATACTCCGTATACAATAAGCCAGATCAATATGAACATATTTAGTAGAGTAAAACTAAAACCCGACCAGATCTATGAGCCAGATCAATATGAACGCATTTAGCAGAGTAAGCTAAAATCCTACTAGATTGATGAGACATACGCATTAAGCTATAAACAACAGTAGCAGAATAAGTGATAAATACGGTGTACCGAAAACTAAAAAACTCTGTATTATATTATATATACACACATATACACTACGGATAGATAATATACAATAAACCAGAAGCTCTTACTCTTCAATCCACTTTCTCAAATAAAGTCGAAACATAATTTGATAATCTCTTTCAAAAATAAATTCCACAAATTCAATTCTAGACACACAAAAACATATCAAATAAACATGTCAATTAACTAAAAAAAGAAGGAGAAGCGTACCTCTTGCAATACGGAGAGCAGGGCAACCCAATCAAGGAGATATGCTGAGATATGGTTTACGATTTTGTGTGTTTATATAGGAGATGAAATTGATTTATTGCCGCCAAAGTTTTTTGTTTTTGCTGCAACTCTCCTATTTTCTAGCGTAGGTCTAGATTGTAGAAGTTTACTCCATATTAAATAGTTAAATATGATAATACTCGGTATTAATTTATGAATGTAAACTAGTTTACTACCCTCCCCATGTAAACTATTTTACATGGTAGAAGTTTACTCCATATTAAAGTGTTTTAAAAAAAGTGACCTACAGTTTGCATCAAACAATTAAAACAAATGGTGTAAAATGATTACTTCCCTTCACTTTACACGCAAAGTGTTTACTTTACACCGTAACAAACGAGCCCTTAACTAGACAAGTGAAATGATATGAACCACAAATTTCTTACCAAAAAGAGAAACACTACGTCCAAAAAACATATTCCGTACTTCGTACGTATTAATCATTCTGCACCTACACCTGTTGGGCCCGGTGTGAAGCGGTTCCGACCTCAGCCTTCCAGCTTCGACGCAGAGGAAGCGACTACCCCCACGGCGTCAATCTTTGACCGTCAACGAAGAGACCGTAGAAGGCTGAAGCGAGACACCTGTTCCCGCTTCGACGCATAGAGGAAGCTACTATCGTCCGCGTCGATCGTTGACGGCTTCCATATCCATATCCCCATTCCAGGTTTTATATGTTATCGATCTAATTATTTCAACTCCTATTTTGTTTATTTCAAAATACTAAATCAAATACTTTGATTTTGATTATACGGAGTATGAATTATGAAGCACTGAACCCCAGCAAGCGGATTGTTAAGCTCTATCAGTGCCGAACCCATTGAGATTACCAAGTTGTTAATTGTTATCCGGTCAATAGAACCCGCGTTTTTGAAAGATTATCTGACCCTACTTGACCCGTCCCACCCTAGCTAATACTTTGCAGTTTAGCTGAAAAAGATGGGGAAGAAGATACAGAAGCATTGCGTGGAGGATTTCAACACCTTGATATGTCAAATGAAGAAGCAAGAGAAGGAGCTTAGGCTCAAAAGAAGGTTAGTATGGAATATTTTATTAACCTGCTTTTCGTTTTATATTTCATGGATTCCAACATGAAGATATGTTCATCTTTTATTTTCAGGTGGTTATTGGGTATAACTTTATCACGATCAGAGATGAGTCGACTAGAGTTGCTTCTTCCACCACAGGACAAGTACTAATTGCTATTTTCTGTTTATATTCTTTGTTATGCATTCTATTTTCCTTTCAATTTTGTCCTTGGAGAGTGTCTGTTAGGGATTCAATCCCAAACTCAGTAGTATCAAACAGTTAATAAAATTCTGTCCCAAGAGTTTGTAATTGTAAATTCATAAAACACAGTGTCTCTTATACAGCAACTAATACTCAGTAATACTAGAGGAGTTCAATAAGGTTTATGAATAGAGAAACGGAAATTAGAGAGGAAGAAGAAATTCCGATAAATCCATCCCTCCCCTCTCTCCTGTAGCAATTTAGCTTTTATACTGAATCCTCTGCCAATCATAATCCTTAAGCCTTGTGTTGGTGGTCTTGAGTCGGTTACCTCTCCTTGGTTTCACGCTTACAGCACCTTCTGTCACGTGCCTTGGCTTTATTGCCGCTGACGTGGCTCCCTCCACTTCATTTCTGGCCTGGCTTATTACATTACCTCCCCCATTAAGACTAACCTTGTCCTCAAGGTTGAAATTAGGAAAAGCTTTTGTCAAGTTTGAGTGATCTTCCCAAGTTGCTTGTTCTGTGGACATTCCTTCCCATTGCACCAAATGTTGCACATTCTGTTGGTGGCCCTGTTGTACCACTCTAGTCTGTAGTATTGAACTTGGTTGTATAAATGGTTCCTGATCTAGGCTAGCAATAGGTAGTGGGACATATGAATGTGGGTGGTTGCCATGGCAGCGTTTCAACTGAGATACATGGAATACCGGGTGGATTTTGGCATCTGCAGGCAGTAAGAGTTTATAAGCGACTACCCCAATCCGCTCGATGACTGGAAATGGCCCAAAATACCGAAGTCCCAATTTCTGGTTCTTCCTTAGGGCTACGGAGTGTTGACGGTATGGTTGAAGTTTGACCAAAACTTGATCCCCAATTTGGAATTCCACATCAAGCCTTTTCTGATCTGCATATTTCTTTTGTAATTGTTGAGCCCTCTGTATGTTAACCCTGAGTTTTTCCAGCAGCGTATCCCTAGTCACCAATTGTTCTTTCACATCCAATGGGTCAGTGGTAGTAGGAACATACCGCAACAACTGAGGTGGATCTCTGCCATAAACGATCTTAAAAGGAGTGTACCCAGCACTGGAGTGATAAGAGGTATTGTACCAGTACTCGGCCCACGGCAAATACTTAGACCACTCTTTCGGGGCATCGAACGTGAAACAGCGCAAGTATAATTCCAAACACTTATTCAAAACCTCTGACTGTCCGTCTGATTGTGGGTGATAGGCGGTTGACATACTCAGCGTGGTGCCACTGATCTTCCATAGGTGATTCCAAAACTGGCTAGTAAAGACCTTATCTCTATCGGAGACAATGGTCTTAGGTAAACCATGCAATTTGACAATTACCTTCATAAATGCCTCAGCTACTGTCCTACTATTGTAGTCACTTTTGAGCGGTGTAAAGTGAGCCTATTTAGATAGTCGGTCCACCACTACTAAGATTACAGTGAAACCATGAGACAAGGGCAACCCAGTAATGAAATCCATAGCCAAGTCCTCCCAAATCTGATTAGGAATAGGCAGTGGTTGTAGTAACCCGGAAGGTAACATAGTATTGGTTTTAGCCTGTTGGCATACTAAACATTGCCTAACAAATTGTTGAATGTCGTTTTGCATACCTTTCCAAACAAATTGAGCCGCCACCCTCGCTAAAGTCCTCTTTGAACCAGCATGACCACCAATAGGGGAAGAATGAAATTCCTGTAATAGTTCTTGAATCAATGCATGTCCTCGGGGCACTACCAACCTTCCCTTCCATAGTAGCATGTTGTCCACTACTGCATAATGGCCAAAACCAGCTTGATTGTTATAACAAGCTTGGATAATATCTTGTAGCTTAGAATTGTCTTGCTGAGCTTGTTGTAGTGCAATCATTATCACCGGAATAGGTTGAGATAGAGCCATATAACAAGACCTGGATAAGGCGTCTGCTGCCACGTTGTCCTTACCTGGTTTATACTCTATTGTGAAGTCATAGCCTAGTAACTTATGCAACCACTTTTGTTGCTCTGGTGTTTGTAGGGTTTGGTCTGTTAAACTCCGTAGGCTCTTCTGATCTGTACGAATGACAAACTTGTGGCCCAAAAGATAATGTCTGAACTTTGCAATGGCTTCTGTTATAGCAAAAAACTCCCTGGTATAGGTAGATTGTTGTTGCATTCTGACAGACATTTTTTTTGAAAAATATGCTATAGGATGCTGCTTCTGACTTAGGACAGCCCCAATCCCAGTTCCTGAAGCATCTGTTTCCAACGTAAACGGTAATGAAAAGTCCGGCAGCTTTAATACTGGTGCCTTTGTGATAGCATTTTTTAGAAGGTCAAATGCTTCTGTAGCCCCATCGTTCCAAGCAAAACTGTCTTTTTTAAGCAAATTTGTCAAGGGTCCTGCCAAAGAAGCATACCCTTTAATAAATCGTCTGTAATAACCCGTTAAGCCCAAAAACCCACGGAGTTGTTTCAGATTGCCTGGTATGGGCCAATCTATTACTGCTTGTATTTTACTAGTCTCCATTGTTAGTCCGTGAGCAGAAACTGTGTGGCCCAAATATTCGACTTGTTGCTGGCCAAAACAACATTTTGAGAACTTGGCATAAAGCTGATGATCTTGAAGTAACTGCAGAACCAACTCTAGGTGTTGTAGATGGGATTCCCAGGATGGACTGTAAACCAAAATATCATCGAAAAATACCAAAACACACTTCCTTAATAAGTTGCGAAATACGTCATTCATAAGACTTTGGAAGGTGGCAGGAGCATTTGAGAGACCAAATGGCATAACCAGCCACTCATATAACCCTTGATGAGTTCGAAAGGCCGTTTTATGTCTATCCTCTTCTTGTATTAGGATTTGATGATAACCAGACCGAAGGTCTAGCTTAGAAAAATACTGAGCTCCAAAGAGTTCGTCAATGAGTTCATCCACTGTGGGTACGGGAAAACTATCCTTTATCGTTAATGCATTCAAGGCCCTGTAGTCTGTACAAAACCTCCATGTTCCATCCTTTTTCTTGACCAGAATTATTGGTGAAGAAAAGGGACTAGTGCTAGGGACAATGATACCTTCTCGTAGCATTTCATGTACCATTTTCTCAATCTGTTGTTTTTGACTAAAAGGGTGTCTATAAGGTTTAACTTTAACTGGATTAGCCCCATGAACCAGCGGAATAGTGTGGGTGTGGTATCTGGGAGGTGGCAGTCCTGTAGGAACATCAAAAACTCTTTGATACTTGTGCAGTAAGGATGCCAATTCCGAATTCATATCCGAAGGCAAGTCCAATTCGTGCTCTTGTGGACCATTTGTAGCCTGCAAATATAAGAAATGAATTTCAGCCATGGCATGAGTTTTCTGCATTCTTTTTAGTTGATTGAATTGTTTTGGACTGGGCAACGTGTTTTTCTCACCCTGCAATGTAACAAACTGGTTGTTCAATAAGAACTTAATGGACAGGTTGCTATAGTCTGAAATGTAGGCACCCAATGTAGAGAGCCAAGCTGCTCCGAGGACTAAATCCGCACCTGAAACGGCTAACAAATACACTGGTAATACCAACGAATTCCCTTGAACCTTAAGTGCTAACTCCTTTATACAGCCTTCCACAGTCAAGGCCGATCCATTCCCCACCGTAACATTAAAGTTTTCCGTAGGTTCAATAGGTAACTTCAAGCATTTGGCAATTCTAGGTTGTAGAAAATTATCAGAACTTCCACTATCCAACAAAATTTGAATAGGTAACCCTTGAATGGTTCCTTGAAAGCGCATGGTGCCCAGTCCAGTCGCCCCTTTGAGAGCGTTAAAGGATAGATGGGGTTCTGCAGTGGTATTAAGTTCCTTTCCAGGAGTGAATTCCGAATCATTCACAGTGTTTTCAGCACTATCGTCCTCCTCCTCCACCTGTAACAGTAATTAATGCTTATTCGGGCAACGATGTGCAGGAGAAAATTTCTCATCACATGTAAAGCACAACCCCTTTTCTCTACGGAGCTGCATTTCTGCCGATGACAATTTCTTTATAGTTGTGTTTTTGGAGTTTATATTGACTGAGCTAGTGGTAGTCGGAGGATTTGAAAGCAGTGGGGGTAATGATGTGGATTTAAGTGATATAGTTGATTGGTTGCTATAATTGCTTGCACTCCTGGGACAGTAATTGGGTTGGGATGGTTTGGGTTTATAGGTATATTTCTCCTCAAACAATTTAGCCAACGATACACATCTGAGTAATGATGTAGGGGCCTGGGCAATAACGTCTCTGCGAATTTCAGCCTTGAAACCCCCTACAAAGCAGTCTAGCAAGGCTTCTGTGGTTACCCCTTGCACCCTATTCGCAAGAGCAGTAAATTTCAAATAATAATCATGAACTGACGTTTCCTGAATTAGTTTGAAAAGATTTGACCGAGGGCATTCATAAGGAGAAGGGCCAAATTCCAGTTCCAGTGCTCTAGTGAAATCAATCCATGAATGGAAGGAATTAGATCGACTCATCATTTGGAACCATGGCACGACCTCCTTTTCCATATGAACCGCAGCAATAGTTAAACGTTGAGCATCAGGAATATTGTAATAAGAGAAAAACTGTTCTGCTTTAAAAATCCATTGCAACACTTCTGAGCCATCAAAACGGGGAAAATCTAATTTCACGTTTCGAACCTGAAACGGGGTCCGTGAGCCTCCAAAAATTTGCCCCTGATTAAGATCTGAAGAGTTCTTCGCCAAAGAATCTACAATGGATTCCAGTGTATGAAAACGTTCTTCATCATCCTTCCGTCGAATCTCCAGAGCCTCCAAAAGTTTGTGCAGATCCCGATCAGTTGCTGAAACCGCTTCTGAAATTTGACGGACCTCACTCGGGAGATCTCTCAGTCGTCCGATCTCTATTGACAACTCCTTCAAGCGAGAATCGAGCTCCTTCAAGCGGGTACCTTCAGCCGCCATGAATGGATGAAAGCACCAATTGTTAGGGATTCAATCCCAAACTCAGTAGTATCAAACAGTTAATAAAATTCTGTCCCAAGAGTTTGTAATTGTAAATTCATAAAACACAGTGTCTCTTATACAGCAACTAATACTCAGTAATACTAGAGGAGTTCAATAAGGTTTATGAATAGAGAAACGGAAATTAGAGAGGAAGAAGAAATTCCGATAAATCCATCCCTCCCCTCTCTCCTGTAGCAATTTAGCTTTTATACTGAATCCTCTGCCAATCATAATCCTTAAGCCTTGTGTTGGTGGTCTTGAGTCGGTTACCTCTCCTTGGTTTCACGCTTACAGCACCTTCTGTCACGTGCCTTGGCTTTATTGCCGCTGACGTGGCTCCCTCCACTTCATTTCTGGCCTGGCTTATTACAGTGTCATTGCGGTGTAATGCGCTACACAGGCATGTGCGTAGACAGAGGCTTAGCCTAGGCAAGGATTAACCGGGGCTAAGGCTAAGCTAGAGTGATGCTAGACCTAGAAAGTACTCGGTGTGTGTTTATATATGTATGTGTAGTATGTTCTTCTAAAGTGATCACAACTAGTTTTCAAACTGCGTGATGCAATTGCTAGAATCAAAATTAAATTTCCCAGTCTTCAGTTCATCACATGTCATTAAATTTCCAAGTCTTCAGTACATAAACATTATATGTATATACTTCCTCGTTCTTTTTTAAATGCGACAATCCACTTTTCACGTTTGCTAGACCATTAATATCTTTCATTCCTTAATAGTAAAGAAGTTAGATTTTGGAAATTTGAAGTGTGAAGAGTTTAACAATTTTTTTTTAAATTTAATTTATAATACATTAATGAATAAAATAGAGTCAAAGTAGAACATGTGAATAGTGAAAAAAGTCTAATGTTGCATTTAAAAAAGAACGGAGGGAGTATATAATGCGTAATATGGCTCTGAGCCTCTAATTCATAAACGTTATCTATTCTAACACACATATATAACCAAAACTGTTCAAGACTTTAAGTTGCATTTTCCTAGACCTTAAATATAGAGCATGGCTGCAATTAAGAGTCACTTATCATGTGGACCAAGCTTGCACACTTATGTTTTTGAGAATATCTTCCTTTAAATACTAAGATGACATGCTGAGATGACATGATCTATGGTCATGAAAACTTTTTCTTTTATATACACACGTACAATTGATGTGCACTTTTTAATACTTGAGCTGAAATTTTTATATTTTAGCACTGTCATTTCATTTTCATTTTCATTTACCCCAGTGCCGCAAAGGCTCCCACCTACGGTGGGGTAAGGGGGGGTCGAATGTACCCAGTCTTACCCCTGTACTAAAATTTGTGGTATGAAGATCATTACATAATAATAAATACGATAGTATAATTTAAGAAAAAAATCACTCTATATTTAATAACAGTGATTACTCTATCAATAGTAAAACAATAATTACTCTATAATTGGTAGAGTAATTATTACTCTATATCAATAGTTAAAAATAATAATTACTCTATATTTGGTATAAATGATATCTTGGTTTTTATAATTATAATCAAAATTGTATTATCCTATAAGTTTCTGAACAAATCACTAGACAAAAATGATGCTACCACTCACAATGAATAACCATCCTTGATCATGTTCCACAAAATAGAAGGAACCCAAAAAATATGTTAGTTGAAGCCCAGGCCGCCAAACCACCGGCTAGAAGGAAAACCTCTCAACCCACGGCCCATGGCCCACCCAAGGCATTAGCCTTTTCAAAACTGTCATTTGTTCCTTTTTTAAAGTGGGCATCCTTTTCGTATAGGGGAGACGGGGGCAGAATGGAATAGTTAAAAGGTATATCATGTTTGTAACAGATCAGGAATTGATATTTTACCCAATATACAAAATATCTTAATGCAATGATGCATATCTATAACAACGACAGTAAACAAAATCATTTGAATAAGTGAGAAAAGAGGAGCTTGAATGAGTCTATAGCTACTTTACTTTCCCCCACTTCCTTTTGCTTTCCCATCTCCTATCAGAAAATTGATAAATAACATTAGAAGCGTTACCTGAAGGTGTTCCCAAATGGAGTGTTATTCTAGAACAGCCTTCTTGGTTCTCTATCACTTCGTGTCATTATTATTCTACGCATGAAGGGCACATTTCTCTGAGTTGTCTATTAACCATTTCTTTCCCAATGTTTTTTATTGTGCATGTAATTGAGATCTGTTTAATTAATTATAAATGTTGCAAGTTAGTGGCATTGCAATTTGTAGTTGGTTTCTCAGTACTATTTGTAACTCAATTGAGTGAAGTCACCAGTAATTTTAATTCAAGCCTTGGTTTTTGCATGTAGGTTTGTACCTGAATCAGTGCTTAGAGAAGATGATGTAAGGTTTTCATATTTTTCTTTGCACAGAGCTAATGTAATTGCCTGGCCAATTTAAAAAATGTCATTGTATTGATGTTTGTCCATACATCAGCAAGTTACTTTTTAAAAGATTTTTTTCTATCTTCAAATACTCATAGTGTGAATGTTCTATACAGAAATTTCTATCTGATGCTTCTTTTGTTTGGTTGCAGTTAAGTTATGAGAGCATCAAAACATTTGTTGAAGAGACACTCGGAATGCTTAAAGAGACTGAAAGGAAAAATTATGTGACTGAAGAAGAAATACGACTCTTTGACTCACCAGACAAGGATACAATAAAGTATATCATCTCCTTGCTAGATGAAATGACCAACAAAGAGCTATTCTCTCTTACCAAGATTTTGACAAATGGCTCTGTTCACTTCCTCAAAACAAAAAAGAAGATGAAAAATATTATCCAAGAGTTTCTACCTAGACTTTTTGAATCTCATGATGACCAAAGCCGAATCAAATTGACGCAAGTCAAACAACTCCTTACAAATCCAACCCAGTCATTCCGTACTGCTATTATCGATGTCCTTTCTAGGCTTGAGGAACTCTCTTTTGTCACACTAGTTGCAATGCATCGAAATCTCAGAGGGGTCAAGGGATTCACTCCAAAATCACAACACAATAAGCCTGGCAGGTCTCTTGAGAGCTTGATTAAACAAATAAGGAAAATATCAATGAAATTGTTGCAAAAATTCAGGGATGGAGACGAACCACCAAGGCCCTTGGTAAAAGCTTTATCAGTTGCATACTTGGTGTTAAACCCAGAATTGAGAAATGTTTTCTCTAATGTTTCACCTGATATAGAGAAGCTACAAACTGATATTATGAGTGCTATTAAATTGGTCAAAGCTAAAAGGAAAGTGAGCCGCATAGAATTGGAAAAATGCATACTTATGCTCGACCCGGAGTTTAAACAAAAAGCACCAGAAAAAAGTTTTCGTGCGCGTATTGTACTGAAGAATTTGTTGACTGCATATCTTTTAGAGTGCTGCAATATGGACACTATACCAGAACGTTTGCTAGAAACAGTTAGATTTATTATTGATATATCTGAGAAGAAAAGCGCATCCTGCACTGGCAAAACTAGTGGACGGGCGACCAGAGCCCTGGCCTGGTCTCATCCTAAATGTGGTAATAAACATTTTTTCTTTGTGCAATTTTTTCCTGAAAATTGTACTCCGTATTTGAATAGATTGCTTATTCTTCTCACCCAAAATTTGCATATTTAGGAGCCTTGTCTACGCCCATGCCAACCTGCAGAACCTTTTCAGACGAGGAGGTACAGGAAGAAGTACACCTGTTGCTGAATTTGAGTGCTCAGGCTAAGCAGATAGTGTGGAATTTTCTTCCAGAAAATAAATTTGACAAAGATTTTGCTGATGCATACATGGATGATGATTATGTTGAAGAGTGTTGTTATGATGGAGCAGGAGGCGGCTCTGAGTTTCAAGACTCCATCTCAGGTCGTACTAGATATTATAGTAATAATAACATTGATGATATAAATTGCCAATCAGAAAGTGTTGGTGAGACCATCCCGGTTGATGATCCCAAATCACCAGTCTCTTCAAGCCCTGCTGAAGTTCATTCTCATAATTCAAGGTTGTCAAGCGCTGATGCACTTTCCAAAATTTCGTCTTGTAATGGAGGTTCAGAAAAATATGATGATGATGTGTTGATGGAGAATGCATACCTCACTATCCAAGAAGCGTGTGATGAAACAAGCATGTTTGCGTATTCATTTGTTGGCCATGTGTTGAATGGATTGGACAAATTAGAGATGGCCCTTCATGCTAATGCATCAGGTCTGAAGTCTAAGCTACTCCATGCCTCCATGGGTATTCTGAAATAGCATTAAATTTGATTATCCTCTCCAGTTTGTAGATCAGATACTTATCTCAAACAATGTTTGAAATAGCATATCATGGACTTGAAATGTTTTTGCTGATTGCGTAAACCCATTGCGCAATAAGGTGCAAGGCTTAGTTTGTTAGTACAATTGTATAAAATAATATCAAAATAATCACTTTAGTCATATAATAAATAATCACCGTGGTGCCTTTGCATTTCTCCATTTGGAGCACTAATCTAAAAAAGTAGAATATGTATTCTACATTCTTCTTCAAGAACATGCATACTATTTTGTTTATTCCGGTTTCTGAGATTTGCAGTCGTGTACCTATGTTGAGCTTCACATTTTTGGTTTTGAATTCTTGTTTGATTCCCTGAAGTTTTTTCTCCACTGTTTCCAGATCCCACGAGGACTATGTGTGAAGATGGTGTGGGTTCCGTTGTGATGAATGCACTTGAACTTCTAGCGCCTTCATTTCCTATCAGGTACACAGTTTCTGCTACTTCAGCAGTCGCACCTTTTCTACTTTTGGTTGTAATTTTGTATGCTGCGTTTACGGATTTCACTCCTCCACCAATGTTCAAGGGAAAGTGGGAGCCTTCGAGTTTAAGATGCAATTTGTTTATCTATTAGAAGAAATAAGTGATACTCCGTATCTCTTTGACTTTATTCCGTTTGATTCTGACTGTTTTTTGGGTACATCCAAATGAATGATACCATGAACTATGTTAAAGGACCTGAACTGGCCCATCTGGATCCAGTGACCTGCCCACAGAGCTGGTCCGTTTATAATTTAACCTGCAAAACTAACAAAAACTGTGAAATGTGTCCACCCTGCCATCCGTTACTAACCTGGCCATACCTAGAACTAGTAAATTCTGGCAGTGTACTAAAGCAGGTCAAAGGAATCAGAAAACGGAGTATATTTTAGAACATTAAGTGGGTTTTCGATGCTTATTAGTAATATAATTAATGGATTATTGTGTATAAATGATATTTTTCTTGTAAATTGATATACTCCGTACATTATATAATAGTAGTATATTTATGATGTTCATTTTTTGGTCAATGTTGACAGCCTACACGGACCTACTTGTTGTTTTCCTGGTTGGTTTGTGACCCAGTCACTTTATGGGGTTGTTTCAATTTCTATTTCAATCAAGAGTTAAGACAACACCTGGTCACTTTATAGCTTGTTTTTTTTGGGGGGGGGGGGGGGGGGGGGGGGGGGGGAAGAATGCGTTGTACTTTAAGTGGAAGCTAAAAATATTTGTCCCTTTTTATCCTTACTTTCTCTTTTGGTTGTCCTCAAACAATCTCCCTTTTCCTTTTTAACGAAAATAGATGTGGTATCCATTTATATTCTAACATTTCTTTTTACATAAACTTTGAACCATATAATTACCAATTTCTTAAACTCATTGTCCAAGTCAAATTCATAATATAGAACTGGGCGGGACTTTTTGTCTAATCTCGCACACTTTTTATGCAGAGGCAAAGAGGAATTGAGAGTGTTCATGGGTCTATAGGGAAGGGAGGGTGGGAAAGAATCAATCGCCCATGCAGAAGCAGGAAGCAGAGAAAAAGTTATATTCAAGTTGGTCTTTTTAGTTATCATCTTGTGATTGTGATTAGGGGTGTGCACCGGTCCAAAACCGGACCGGACCGGACCGGACCGGAACCGGTTAGGACCGGAACCGGAATCATCATTTTCTATGGACCGAAGACCGGACCTGAATCTAACCGGTCCGGACCGGTCCGGACCTGAATTTTCCGGTCCGGTCCGGGTTTGACCCTAATTGACCCGGTTTTAAAAAAAGACATACGGAGTATTATCTTAGAGTGTTCTTTGTCGACCCCAAATTTTTTAGGAATAAGACTTGGATGTTGTTGTTTCAAACTATAATTTTATATGCGGATATGCTAAATAGACTAAATAATTGTTTAGCTCATTTATTAATTTTGGAATATAGTCATCAAAACTATTCAATCGTAACAATTAGTATCCCACAATAATTAAAACTACAATCTTCTGTGTATTAAATTGGCAAAATTTATTGTGGGGTAATAAAAACTAAATTACGTCCAAAAATATACTACATATAAAATACATACACACCTGCAAATAAAGAAACAAATAAAAAGCGATTTGGAAAAATCAAACAAATATAAACTACGATCAATAAAAAACTTAGGACCTGCTACATAAAAAAAAATTATAAACAACTTAGGAAATAATTAGACACCAAATACACACTCCGTATATATTCGTTTATATAACAAAAGGCAAAAATAAGCCATAAACATAGTAGTAAGCCAAATATAAATTGACTAATGATTCAAAACGAAGTATATATTTTATGGAACAATCGGTTACCGGTCTATTCCGGTCCGGACCTGTTTTTTCCGGGTTTGACCCGGACCGGACCGGAAACCCGGAATCTTGAAAAACTAAGGACCGAAACCCGGACCGGTTAATACCGGTCCGGTCCGGACCGGGTCAATCCGGTCCGGTTCAGGTCTAAAATACGGTCCGACCCGGTTAATGCACAGCCCTAATTGTGATTGATTGGGAAGAAAGCTATATTTTGATCTTATCAAAGGCAATTTTTTCTATGTTTAAGTCTTAGCCTATTTGCTAACATTGATTCTATTGGCAATTAATGAAGTTCTAGCTGAATTGACTGGATTGGCCGTTTATGCTCATTCATGAGACACTTATATTAGAAATGTATTTTATTAATTATATTAAAAAAACATTTTATTAATAAAATAAAGATAAATTATATAGAATAGCTAAAATGGTCTTCTATAGCAATTTCATGTAAAACAATAAGAAAAGTAACTCCAACATTGCCTATTTTGGTACTACATAATTCAGTGCGAATTAGAGGTTACATATTAGATGAAAAAGATAGAGTCACCAAATGGGTCCTAAGTTGAGGATAATTTTTATCAGTTTACATTTGGTTGTGGCATGAAAATGTTTATTTAGGATATGCCGACAAGCAATGCAGAGCCATAGAATTTAAAGTTGGTGTTAGAGTGTTTATTAAAGTTTCTTCTTGAAAAGGAATCATCTGATTTCAAAGCCTGGGAAAACATAGCCCTATAGGGCCATTTAGAATTCTAGAGAGAAATGAGGCCATAACATGTCGTCTACGGTTGACTCCTGAGTTAGAGAGGATACATAACATGTTCCATGTATCAAGCCGCATGCAGAGATGTGCGAGGATTTGAACTATGTTGTGCAACCGGTGAAGATAAGTGATAGATGGGTGAAGAATTTGAGAAGTTAATAAATTCTGATGGTTAAAATCCTTTGGAAAAGTGATCGGGTCAAAGAAGAGACTTGAGAAACATAAGCTTTGGTGAGAAAGTAGTACTACCTCCGTCTCTTAAAACTTTGCCAACTTTCCTTTTTTGGATGTTGCACTAACTCTGTCACTTTCCATTTTAATTAAAGAATTTGTGGTTCCAATTAATTCTCTCTCCTTTGCACAAACTTCAACCCCACAGTTTTTATTTTATTAATACCCGTGTCGATCAAACTTGGCAAATTGAAGTTTTAAGGGACGAAGGGAGTATGATTTTCTTTTTGAGTAGCTTTGTGAATTTCAGGGACGAAATTCATGTTGAGGGGGGTGAACTTGTGACACCGCACCCGGATGTATTTGAAACCTTGATTTAAATTCAATAGATGTACTTAAACTCTCTATTATTAATCATGTGTTACTAAATTAAGAAGTCAATTAATAAACGATTAACTAAACTATTTATTTGGGCCCGTGTTATGAGAATGGACTATCCAATACTTAATTGGGTTATCTTATTAATTATAGGAGCCCAATAAGATATAGGCTTTGTTTGCAACTACTTCTCCTTAAATAAAAGCACTTTTGGGGAAAAAGTGATTAGTAGTAAAAGTTGGTAGCGTTTGATAAAATAAGTGCTTTTTGTGTACTAGAAAAAGAAAAAAGTAGATTCTACACGGAAGCCGAGAAAGTAAAAGTTGGTAGTGTTTGGTAAAATAAGTGCTTTTTTCTTAAAAAAAAGTTAAAAGCACTTTTTTTAATGGGTTGCAAACAGACCCATAAATAAAGGTTCATAAGCCTTTTTGACAAAAAAGGAAAGGTTGAGCAGCCCAAGTGTTACTTTGGCCCAACTTACTATAAATAACAAGATTCATGGAAAGGGTGTCCTAGGCCCACTTGAGGTAGCTCACATGTGTTTTAGCCCAAATATATAAAAGGAAAGATAATCAATTATTGCTATGGGCGGACAAAAGGGGTGAGAGGATAGCTAGGGAAGAATACAAACTCATAAGGTCACTTTTATCATTATGATTAAGATAAAGTATCAGACCCAATATAAATTATTAGGGTCATCCTACACATATTAGAAACCAATAATATGAGGTAAAAGGTTGGCATTGACTAAAGAAATTCGAATGAGTACAGAATGTACTACACATACCAAAAAAAACAAAATGGGGCATCCCATATGACTTAGACACCTGCAAAATGAGAGAAGATGGTCAGATGTATCATATGGGGACGGACATATAAACAGAGAAGCTAATAATACACAAGAGACAAAAACTATATGACCCACATATTCCTTACTATTTTTGACATTTTCCTTCCTATTTTCGTACCACATATTAGAGAGACTGAACCACGACTCTTTGGGGTGAATAATACACCCTTGGATGTTGACTTAGCTTTGTAATATCGTCCACAAACGAAAAGGATACAATTGATTGAGGAGAGAGTGCTTGAGGGATCACATGTGTACAATCCGTCACATGTTGCGAATGTGTATGTGTCTGTCTCATTGGCTCATTGCACTCATTGAGATCCAATTATTCAAACTGGATGAGTGAGGTGGCTCTGGAAAGCTCTAAAGACCTAGTTTCTGGGGGGGTTCAGCTTGGGAGAAGAGGAAGGTATCCAAATCATATGAACGACTGGGGAAGGTATTCAACACAATATTAGATGTAGAATATGTGTTGATGATGTTATTTTATGGTTTTTAAGGTTAGATACTAACCTCGAATCAACCTTGAAAAGCTAGGAGGTTGTACTTTGAAAAACGCCTTTCAAGGAGGTTGTTTTCATATCTTTTGCAAGGGGACAAACAACCACGTACCATTGGAGGAGGTCATATAGCTACCATTTTAAAGCAAGTAATCCATAACCAATCATCGTTGGCCGGTGTTTTGACCAATGGACTTAGAGAGGACAAATTTAGGAGCTAATTAAGGTGAGGATCGACATCTAGTTCCTTATAACTTGTAGGTTAAGCATGCGATTACCTAAATGCCTAAAGTGTGATTTTTCAGGGATTATAATGTCTAATGCTTGTTAAAATATGGATGTCTCTAATTTTTTTCGAAGTTGTCCATGATTTTGAGTAATACTTGAGATATGATGCTAGTTTGGCTATTTATGAACATTTGAGTTGAAATATGAATTTCTAGTTCATGTATGGAGTATATGGATTATGAATATGTTTTTGTGTATAATGAAATGGTAGACTTGAATCATGTGTATGGATTTTTAAAGATGTTAAATCATTCATGAAGCATAGACTTGAACTTAATAAGAACAACCCAAGTCGTATCAAGATACTAGCTCTAGTTTGTTTTGGTTCTTATTAGCATTGATCTTTAAGTTTGGATTGAATAATGTAGTTCAATAGATAACTTGTAAGGTTAGAACAAAGACCATGGCCCAACCGTGTCTAAGGAGCAGTGTTGAATAAGCATGGATTTGTAAGGTTAGAGGTAGGGACCAAGGCTCGGGAAGTCTCTAGAGAGCGCCATCAGATAAGCATGGACTTACCGACGTGATCACGTATAAGGAATGGACTCAGAACTAATGGCCATATGTGGCGTTGGACGAGCATGGACATTGTTTACGTCCCCGACAGACATTATCTTCCTATGGGACTTTTGGTACTAGTCTAGGAGCGGGGTGACCAGGCATTGGTGTAACACCCCCAACCCCGCAGGACCCGAGGTAGTTACTCCAGACCTCTAGTACTATCCTCACAAACCTCCACAAGCCTTTAACATGCACTTTGTCCTCACTCATGCGCGCCCTGAGAAAGTTCCCAATGAGGGCACCCGTCCCAAGACTGCTCCCGTGTAAGCACATTTAACGTGGAGTTCTTAGAAGACGAGCTTCCTTAAAATGAGATGCACCTCTGTTGGTATGAGCAGTACTAGTAATCCATTTAAATTAGGGAAATTTCCTAGGGTAAGACTAAAACTCAATCACTTTCTTAATCTATGATCTAACTAGTTTTTAGACTTCCGTATGACCGAAAATCCCAAAAAATAAATTAATTTCGTTTATATTTAAAGGTTGAATGACGAAAATACCTTTATTTAAAATATGTGAATTTGCACTAATTTTGTCCAATTAAAATTTCTGCACTTTATATTGATGTTAATGCACGACATTAATGCAGGATTTTAATGCACATCCGGTAATTATCACTGCACTTCCGCCAAAATTAATTCTCTTCTCATTCACTTGAGGAATTTATTTTTAGTTTTTGTTTTTTGTTTTTTAGATTACATAATTTTATTATTTTACATCTAATTTAGTATTTTACATTTTATGATGATATTACTACCATAGTTGTCATGGCGTCGCCATGGCGTCGCCTTATCGTCGCCAAAGCGTCCAGGCGGTAACAGAGGATCGACATAGGCTGTCGACACGCCATAAACTTTGTGGCGTCGAAGTAGCGTCCTTGTGGCGTCGGTAAAACGCCATAGACGCCTAGTCGACGACTTATTTGAACTGGACGCAGAACATAATTATTTGAAAAGGCCCAAAAACAAACCCAATTTTTTGAACCCATCAAAAAAAAAAAACCAGACCTATCTGCGCTCAATCCATCTCCTGTAGTCTAAACGCAGAGTCCCATCTGCGCTCAAGCCATCTCCCGCAGTCCGCACGCTACTACTTCCCTTCCATCTTCAATCGTCCGCAAGGTATTTCCGTCTTTAATGGCGAGCCTCTCTTAGTCGCTTCAATCGTCCGCAGCTTTGTATCTTCAGTTTATTTCTAGACTTGGGCTTTTAACTTTAGTGGGTATTTGATTCGTATTTTTATTTTAATTATTAGACTTATTGCTCCAGTTGGGTACTTGGTTTAAAATCATCTAACTTTGTATATTACGTGGGTTTAAAATCATCCAGTGAGTAACTTTGTATTTAATGTTTTCAAAAAACACCGTTGGTTGTATTTAATATTTTTCAAAATACATTTTATTAAATATTTTGTTGAATGCTTTGAACTTAATGTTGTATTTAATGTTGTGATGAACTTTATAATGTTTTACAGAAAGTCAAAAAGCTTTTGAAAAGTCAGTATTGTATATTTGTGAAAACAAATTTCAGTTTTTCCCAAATAATGAATAAATTTCAGTAGTTTTTTTTAAATTTTATATTTCCTAATTTTTTCAGTGTCTTCAATTCAAGCTGAAATTTATGTTGTGTGACGGTGTTGTATTACATTTAATATATATATATTTTTAATATTAAATGTGAAATTTTTGTTATTTAGTTTTACAGTTGATAAATTTTTTAAACAGTGCTTACCATGGCTGATCCGGAAACTTATGATCCATCAAAAGATCCTAGCAGAAAACCCAAATCGGATGATCCCGGATGGGAATTTGGTTTTTGGCCGGACA